GTATCACTAATTCTTATAAATATTTCCTTTATCGAATATGGACCCTTAAGTTCTCTTAAGTCAGCACTAATGTACTTTGAACATAGGTTTCCCTGCAAACTGAATTTCAGTGGATACACATGAAGAATTGTTATTGCTCGAAGCAATCGAAGAGAAATGTCGGCTCAGAATTTTGGATAAAATGCTGCAATAACTTAATATTTATACAATATTATATACTATTGTCCTGCAGTCTAGTAACACTATGGAGTGGCCTTGGCTCCATACTTGCTCCATCCTTCTGTCATTCCAGTGCCTTGCAAAAGTATTCAGCCCCCCTGGCCTTTTTCTTGTTTTATTGCACAAAAACATTTAATTCAATTAGATTTTTGCAGATGTTGTTTTTATTGATGTACACAACATGAATCTTTGAAGATGCAAAACATATTTTTCATTGTGAAAAAAACAAGAAATAAAAATGAATAAGAAAAAACGTTTGCGTGCATAACTATTCACCCCCCCAAAGTCAATACTTAGTAGAGCCACCTTTTGCAGCAATTACAGCTGCAAGTCTCTTGGGGTATGTGTCTATAAGCTTGGCACATCCATTTTGGGGAATCTTCCACATGGCTTTTGGTGAACTCCAAACGTGTTTTCTTGTTTTTTTCCTTAAGCAATGGCTTCTTTCTGGCGACTCTTCCATAAAGCCCAGCTCTGTGGGGTGTACGGCTTACTGTGGTCCTATAGATTCTCCTCTCTCTACTGTGGTGCTAACCAGCTCCTTCAGGGTTATCCATGACCTCTTTGTTGCCTCTCTGATCAATGCTCACCTTGCACAGTGTGTTTGGTTGGCGGCCCTCTCTTGGCAGGTTTGTTGTCGTGGCATATTTTTTCCATCATGAAACAATGGATTTAATCGTGCTTCGTGGGATGTACAAAGTTTGTGAGGTTTTTATATAACCCAACCTTATTTATACTTATCCACAACTTTGTCCCTGAACTGTTTGGAGAGCTCCTTAGTCTTCATCGTGTCGTTTTCTTGCTAAGTATTGCCACTTGTTAAGTGGTGTGGGAGATTTGGGCCTTCTACAACAAGTGTATACATACAGATATAATCATACATTTGATTGCACACGGGTTAAGTTAGCTTTATTTAAATAATGTTTTGACTCTGGAGGTCATTGTTGGGGCTAAATAGCAAAGAGGGTGAATACATGTGCACACACAACTTTTCAGTTTTTCATTGTTTAAAACAGGATCATTTGTATTTTCACTTCACCAATCTTGACTGACTTTGTGCAGGTTCATGACATAAAACCACAATCAAAATATTGAATTATTATTGGCTTTAATAATAGAAAATAGAAAAAGAGCCAAGGGGGTGAATACTTGTGCATGGCACTGTATGCCCTGTTTTCATTTGGCTCTACTGTAGACCTGCAAGTGAATCTACCTCTTATGATGTACCAACAACACAAAGGCTCTGCCACCCACTGCATCTGAACACCTATCCAAACATTTCCTTTCGAGGCATGTCTCTATATGATTAATGAATCGACTTATCTTTCAATCTCATAAGTGACACAAATCATGAATATGTTTTGTTTTAATCTTCTGTCAGAAGTATAAACTGGATGAATAAATACTTTTTGAATCGTAATCATACTCTCAGAAAAGGAGTTTGACCCTTCTCAATTGTTTCTATCTAAACCCTTCTAAAGACTTGATACGATAGCATATCATTATCAGAGCTAAACAGTAGTTATATTGTTTTTTTTTTTAAAAAAATACAATCTGTCAAAACTGTTTCCATGAGGCAATACCATTTTCTAATAAATAGTTTTCTCTACTAAAGTATCTTTTAAATGTGTAAATTAAAAGCTTTAATTGACCAAACTTATAACATTTTGTGAGAGCTGAAATATGTTATAAATTGAAAAGTCCATGGTTATTTGTCTGTTACTTTATATTTTATATTTAACATGAACAATTTGGTACATTTCTTGATGGTCACACACCCAAACCTAAATACAGTGTATACATTCAGGTGTTTCTATTGGACTAATTCTTACTTTTATGTCAAATTGTTGACGTGTTTTATGTATACAAATGTATGTCTTGACTCATCAGAAACATAATGAAAGTCTCCTATAAAGAGTATTTTTTTTGAAAACTTTGATCAACTTTAAATGTAATGTTAATCTCAGAAAGGCTCTTATTTCAATTATAAATGTTATTAAGCATGTGAGGGTTTTATTACATATTAACACACGTTTAATCATCAAATGCTTAGTATAAAGCCTGACTGAATTATATAAACAATATTAGAAGGAAGAGAAAATGTTTTGAAAGATAATGTGGAGGCTGCAGCGTTGGCCCCGCCCAGCCGCTTTCCCGCTCTCCGTCTTCTCTTAGGTCCGCAGTGAATGTATAAATACTGCCGGTCATTGCTTCTACTCATGTTCTGAACGAGCCGACAAAACAATACCTGAAAATGAGTGGAAGAGGAAAAGGAGGAAAGGGACTCGGCAAAGGAGGCGCCAAGCGTCACCGCAAGTTCTCCGTGATAACATCCAGGGCATCACCAAGCCCGCTATCCGCCGTCTGGCTCGCCGTGGCGGAGTGAAGCGTATCTCCGGTCTGATCTACGAGGAGACCCGCGGGGTGCTGAAGGTGTTCCTGGAGAACGTGATCCGTGATGCCGTCACCTACACCGAGCACGCCAAGAGGAAGACGGTGACCGCCATGGATGTGGTGTACGCCCTGAAGAGGCAGGGCCGCACTCTGTACGGCTTCGGAGGTTAAACATCTACACCCTGACATACCTGGAACAACAACGGCTCTTTTAAGAGCCACCCACATTACTCAAAAAGAGACATTCCTTTTGATGAACTTTATATCGAACCTAAACTCCAACTCTGAAATTCTTGATATTACAAATGTAGACTATTTCACAATGTTGTTTATCCGACATCCAATGATATGTTCGTAGAGGATAAAGTCTCCACACACACCACGACTGCTCCAAAAACTTCTTCCAGCTCTGGGGTTTCTTACACTTTTGAAATATGTTTTAATGGTGAAATACACCGGGATATTAAGGACTAAGTCGCTTATAATGAATACATTTGTATTTATTTTAGGATCTTAAAATCATACGTATTGGGATTCATGTGGACTAGAGGGTGACAAGCATCACTTTCACCTCACTTTTTTATTTAAATTCCAACCTTGGTCATGAAAAATATGTGTTTCTCTGTTGTCCACGTTATACATAGTTAAAAACATGAAAGAGTTAAAAGGAAAACGATTTGTTGAATTATTCATGTACAACACATTATAAAACCCCAATAATACAAATACATAATCAATGGGGGTTCATTTTACATGTCATCCAATCTGTTTTGATTCTAAAACTCGTTAGGCGCATGCGCCGTCCTGCTCAGAAGACAACCAATCCCGTGCGAGCAACAGCACAGTAACATTTGCATCATGTGAATATAAATAGACCGCTCTGTGACAAAGAAGTATTCGACTCTGTCGCACCTCTCTCTCTCATCATGCTGCTGAAGCACCCCGGTCAAAGCGGCCAAGAAGGGCTCCAAGAAGCCGTCGCTAAGAGCGTCAGCAAGACTGGAAAGAAGAGGAGGAAGTCCAGGAAGGAGAGCTACGCCATCTACGTCTACAAGGTGATGAAGCAGGTGCACCCCGACACCGGCATCTCCTCCAAGGCCATGGGCATCATGAACTGCTTCGTGAGCGACATCTTTGAGCGCATCGCCGGGGAGGCCTCCCGTCTGGCTCACTACAACAAGCGCCGCACCATCACCTCCAGGGAGATCCAGACCGCCGTCCGCCTGCTGCTGCCCGGAGAGCTGGCCCAAGCACGCCGTGTCTGAGGGCACCAAGGCCGTGACCAAGTACACGAGCTCCAAGTAAACTCTGCTGCTGACATACCAACAACACAAAGGCTCTTTTAAGAGCCACCCAACCCATCCAAAGAGCTCATCCTGTTATACTCCAGAACTACTCTACCAGAAATCTAAATAACTTAAATGTTATTTATACATAATGTTTTGTAAAGCAAGATAAACCATGATTGAATATTGTTCATTCTTCACTATACGTGTTTATACCACCTCACTGGTGTTTGTTTTTCCAAAATGAAAATACATACATTTCACAATATGAAGGAAATATGTTGGTTATTTTACTGCAATCCTGAGAGAAAATGCTAACGGCCCGCCCGATTTGAACAAATCTTGGAGCTGGGCGTGTCTGACAGCTTGGGGATTTTTTGCGAGCAACACGACCAACAACCAATCACATGAATCTCCCGCCCCCGACATACAAAGCAAACAAAAAACGGGGATTTTATGCGAGCAATATATATATATATAAACTCCCCAAACAGGCGAAAACCTACCAGTTTCACCCACTGTCTCTGCCACCTCCCTCCATGCCTGGTTCCTCCGGTTTGTATCCCGTTAATAGTTCTGGCCGTAATTTCTCGTTTGGAATATGAGGAAATGAACTGCGGTCTGGCTCTCCCTGCTTACACGCGGTTTGATTGGCTAGCGCTTCTACCGTCAGATTTGCATAAACGGATCTGATTGGCTGTCGCTTCCAGCTCAGCCTCAAAAGTTGAACATTGTTCAACTTTGGAATCCTGGAAATCCTGGAAATCTTCGCCTCGCCCCCCCACAATGCAGTTCGGTGACAAGACGTCATCCCCATTCAAAGTCAATGGGCGGAGACGCGCTGGAAGCGGTGGACAAATCGCCAAAAGCTGCTGTGTGTACGGGCCGTAAGTGGTAATCTTTATCTTCGCAAATCTTTAGAGGAGACAAATGAACACATTTATTATTAAATGTTGTCCCTCTGCCAAAACACGGACCAGACAAAAGGACCAGATATCTTGCATCATTGCGTGCAATATTTTAATGAAGGTCACTCGTACGCTGTAATCGTGGACATGTTGTCTACCTTTCACGGTTGTAAAATCAGTTTGCGGACTCTTAAAAGCAAACTGAATCAAGCCGGGTTTTACCGCAGAAAGGGTTATTCCTCTCAAATCGCTGTAATTAACGCCATCAGGTTGGAACTTCGTGGACCTGGACAATTGTTTGGATACCGAAAACAAAAGTACAGTCTTCGAGTGAAGAGAGATGATGTTATGAATTTGCTCCGGGAGCTTAACCCTCGAGGCTGCGAGAGGAGATCTCGCAGAAGGTTTATAAGGAGAACCTACCACTCAATGGGACCGAAATATATGTGGCATGCTGACGGTTATGACAAACGTAAGCCATTCGGTGTGGCGCTTTCAGGATGCATAGATGGATTTTCACGTAAAGTACTATGGCTTGAATGTGGTCCAACAAACAATAACCCAAGAGTTATCGCTCAATATTTCCTCAAATGTGTGCGAAACCTCGGTGTCATCCCCATGAGGCTGCGGACTGATTGTGGCACGGAGAACGGAATTATGGCTGCAATTCAGTGCACCCTACGTCACCATCACCATGACTACTACTCTGGAGTGTCCAGCCACATGTATGGCTCATCCATGACTAATCAGCGAGTCCTGGTGGTCCATATTAAGAAAGGGAAGGTAAGTGTCTGTCATGATTATCTATTACTTGCCAACACTGTCAGACAAACAACATTTGCTTAGCTAAAGTGTATCAGTTTTTATTATAATAGATATTATAGCCTGTAGTCTATGACCCAGACTATACAAGGCCTTTCTTTAGAACTTCTTTTTGGCAGAAATAAAGTTAGAAACTGTGAACATCTAAGCGTGGGTTTTGGATTGAACAGCGGCCCCTGAGGGGACCTAGGCACTATAGGTTGTGAAGCAAATAAATGATTAAATAGACACTCAATGATTTTGTTGTTGATTTGACTGGTAACCTTTTAAAGTCATTTGTAGAATTGTTGTATATTGCTTAATAATTCACTTGAAAATATATCAATTTCTATAGGTCTCAGTTCTGGATGGAGCTATTTGCAGACCTGCTGGATACTTCAACGGGAGTCACGAGCATCAGTGCCTTCTGAGATTCTGCTTGGTTGATGTTATTCAGAAGGACTTGGATGAGTGTGTGAGCCTGTGGGACGGTCACAGGATTCGCCCTTCCAGAACAGCATCATGTCCAGGAGGAGTGCCCAATGAACTGTACTACTTGCCACACAGGTAATACATTGGTGATGGATTGATACTTCTTTTTCTTTCAGTCTTTATTTCCAACAGATTAAAAAATAACAAATAACAAATGTGAAAAACAGAATACTGTATTGTTATAATACAGTATTTATCCACATTCATGGTAATATTTGTATATTCAACAAAAAAACAAAAAAAGTCTTCATATTAATAATAAATCATATGTGTCCGAAACGGAGCAGGAGGAAGCAAATGCTTATTAATTCCCACCCCTTACTTGATCAATGATTGTCCTTTAAATCATTATGCAAGTTATTCCTAAATACATTTATATTTATACATTTACAATCATTTCTCATCTTCAATCACTTTCTTCATTCTCATAGATTTCCCAAAAAGTGTTTCTGTATATCCTTTTAAACTGAATTATTAGTGCTGGGGGGAAACGATTATTTTGAAAACGATTAATCGGACGATTATTTGATCGATTAGTCGACTAATCGAACGATTATTTTTCTGTTGTTCAATTCATAAAAAACGTAATGTAAAAAAAACGTAATGTAAAAAAAAATTTGTTCACGATACTGTGTCTCAGGGGATCTTAATATTTCAGAACCTATTAATGTGTTATACCAGATTAACGGAAATAATCTCAGCTAACTGACGATACAAACCATGTTTACCAAAACAAAACACAAGTCTCATAAGAAGCATCTAAATGACCCCTGAGCGAAAAATGCTAACGGACATTGGCACAGATCTCAAGATAAAAGTACCCTTATTACTTATCGTAGCTGCACATACAAGATATCCGATTAAAGCTGAGACTCCACAGATTATGTAGGTACATAGTGTCATCACTGAGTGATCCGGACTCGCGACAGGGGAAGCAAATACAGTCATCACAACACGTACCTTCACAGAGCTTCTAGGGAGATCGTCTCACCGCCGTAGCTGTCAATCTGATCAAAAGACTTGTTCAATGGCATTAAAATGAGAAAAACCGCGGCTGAATCGGTTAATCCATAGGTTTTTAACGTCTATGTATAAACAAATTATTGAATTTATAATCCATAATTCCATTTTTATGTAAAAATCGGAGAGCAAATGCTAGCTGCTAATGGTAGCCACCACAGCTAGCTGCTGCTTCCGGTCAAGCAGCAGTCTCAGTGAGATATAAATATATTTGCGTTTTGGACTAACTTTAAAATATTCCCATGCTTTTGAAGACCTAGGGCGAGATGTTTTAGTTTGGGGGTTTCGTGCGCAATCCTGTGAGGAGGAGGTGGTAGCCGATTCAGTCTCCATTGTGTTAGAAGTGCGATTGCGAACTGCTTGTTGCTTTGGGTGACCCACGTGTGTGTGGCGACCATATATACAGTCTATGGTGGCGACGCGTCGACGCGGAAATATGTCGTCGACGATATTTTGAAGTCGTCGACGCGTCGCTACAGCACTATGAATTATGCTTGTGCTTTGTTTGAACTCCTGCTCCAAACCATTCCATAAAGTCACCCCACAGATTGTTAAACTCATACTTCTCAGAGTTGTTCTGACCTTGAGTTTAAAATGTAGATTTCCTCTCAGATGATACCCCCCCCCTCTCTGTCTACGAACAGTGTTTTTAATGTCCTAGGAAGTAGATTATGTCTGGCTCTGTACATGATTTGTGCCGTTTTAAATGTAACCAGATCAATGAACTTCAATATGTGTGACTTCAAAAATAATACATTAGTGTGTTCAAGATATCAACATTATTGATAACTCTTATAGCCCTTTTCTGTAATGTGCATAACGGCTGTAGGTTGGTTTCGTACGTGTTTCCCCAGATCTCCACACAGTCAATCAGATATGGCAATATGAGTGTGTTATAGAGAGTATGCAATGAGTTCCAGAATGTATCTGGCTTTTCCCAATATTGCGATTTTAGCCAGTTTTGCTTTTACATGAGTGATATGAGGTTTCCAGCTGATGGTGTGCTCTCAAACCACACCAAGGAACTTCCTTTCACTCTTTCTATGTGTTATCCAGTATTAATTGTATCTGTGGATTTGTTTTATGTTTTCCAAATAACATGATCTTTGTTTTGCTTATATTTAATGATAATTTGTTTGTGTCAAACCAATGTTTTACTTTAATCATTTCTGCTGTTATCACTTCCATTAGCTCTTTCAAATTGTCACCGGAACAAAAAATATTAGTGTCATCTGCAAATAAAATACATTTCAATATATTTGATACTCTGCAAATGTCGTTGATGTATATTATAAACAGCTCTGGACCCAACACGGACCCCTGAGGTACTCCACAAGTTATGTTCATGTATTCTGATTTATGTTCACCAATTTCAACACATTGTTGTCTGTTGCTTAAATAATCTCTCACCCAGTTTAACCCCACCCCTCTGATGCCATACGTTCCAGTTTCATCAGTAACATATTGTGATGGTGTCAAATGCTTTTTGTAAGTCTATAAATATTCCCGCTGCTTGTTTTTTATTGTCCATGCAGTTTTCTATTTCCTCACTTAATTCCATTAGTGCCGTAGATGTTGATCTTTCCTGAATCCATATTGACTGTCGTCCAAAAGCTGATGTGTTTCCATGAAACTGTCAAGTCTTTTTGTAAAAAGCTTTTCAAGGATCTTGGAAAACTGAGAGAGCAATGAAACAGGTCTGTAATCTGTGTAACGGTGTTTATCCCCAGTTTTATATAATGGTATAACTTTTGCTATTTTCATTTTATTTGGGAATTTACCAGATTGAAAAGACAAGTTAAAGTCAATAATGTTTTTTACTATAATCATATCAATATTATTCCAATCGGTCGAGGATTTTCTTTTACATTTTCGCACATTATCGATGATTTATTTTTCTTCGACTGGTGCGAGGAAGAAAGAGCTATTGTTTTCATTCCGGAGGTCCGTATCTTCCCCTTTAGTTGTTTCTACGGTTTTCTGCCAGATCTGGCCCCACATTTACAAAGATTTCATTAAAACCATTAACCACATCTTCTGTATTATTAATAACATTATTTTTGTCCACAAAAAACTCGGGGTAACCAGAGCTTTTTGCTCCATTTCTAATGACACTATTTCATACTTTCCATAAACCTTTCATATTATTCTTATTATTCTCTAATATTTTATTAAAGTATTCTTTTTTACATATCCTCAGAATATGGGTTAATTTATTCTTATATCTTTTATATTTATTTTCTGCTTCTGAAGTTCTATATTTTATGAATTGTCTATATAGTGTATTTTTCTTTTTGCAGGCATTCTTTAGGCCATTAGTGATCCATGCACTGTGAGTTTGTTTGTGTCTCTCTCTGCATTGTTTCACAGGACACTTTTTGTCATAAAGTGCTTTAAAGATGTTTAGAAATTCATCATAGACCTTGTCAATATCGTCTCTCTCATATACTACCCTCCAATTCTGCTTTAGTAAATCATTCTTAAATGCAATTATGTTATCTTCAGTTCTCAATGTTTTGTATTTGAAAAGGCTGGCGACTTTCGGTTTCTTAGAACTGCAGTGAGAGACAATAAAAACAGGTAAATGATCACTTATGTCACTATATAATAGTCCGCCTACTGTATTGTTTTCCATAATGTTTGTGAATATGTTGTCTATTAACGTAGCAGAATGAGAAGTGATTCTACTAGGTCTGGTGGTTTTAGGATACAAACCCATACTGTACAAAGTATTGATGAAGTGTTCTGTCATTTTATGCTTATTTGGATTCAACAGGTCAACATTGTAATCCCAGATAAACATCATTTGTTGTAATGATTTAGTAAACATGTTTTCTACTATCTGTAAATGTGTCAATACAGGTTCCAGGAGCTCTGTACAACTCACAATAACATTTTTAGACTTTTCCATACACATGTCTACTGTAACACATTCAAACAAATGGTCAACAGCTGTTGTCATGCTCTCCACCACCTTATAGTTCATTCCTTTCTCCACGTAGATCGCCACACCCCCTCCACTCTTATTCCTTCTGTTTGTATAATTCAGTTCGTAGCCATTCATCTCAAAGTCCACACCTTTCTCAGCACTGATCCAGGTCTCTGATATTGCTTTGATGTTGAATGGGTTCTTAAACTGACTTAGATATTCTTAATGTTGAGGAAGTTGGCATCCAGGCTTCTGCTATTGAAGTGGATCATTGTTCTCTTCGGATTGACACGTTACATTGAATTGCTCTTCTGTGAAATAGTTGCAGCTGTTGTTGATGTTGTTCAGTAAGTTGTTTACCGGATCAATGTCATTGTCCATGTCCTGTGCTTTATGCTCTGTATATGCAAACGTTTCAAGTCTTGATGGAGATATGTGTATATTATCTGGAATTGTCATGGTAGTGTTTTATTCTCGTTACCTTGTCTGATTTGTTTCATTGGTATTTTTCCAGTTCCTCCAGGTCCCTGATGATGAACACGTTGGCTTGTTCTGGTGATCCGTTAAGCTGGATGAAGATCTTGCAGTTTGCAGTCCATGGTGATTGTATTTGTTGCTGTTTCTCAGGAATCGGGCCTTTCTGGCGATCTCAGCATTTCTTTTAGTGAGGTGTTCATTCATATACATCCGAGCCCTTAAGCCGTCTTCCCTGTTTCAGAAGTTCAGTTTTCTGTTTTCTGTTGGCAAACCTTATTATTATTATTGCCGGTTTATCCGTTTTTATTTCTCCGTGGTAGCGGTTTTTTATCTTAAATGTAAATGAATACTATTATGTCTTCTGTTTAACATAGATTTGGCTCCAGGGACTGTGGATTTGAGATTGAACAGGCAAAATGTGATGCTGTTCCTGAGACAAGCCTGTCTATAGCTCCATGTGGGGACCAACACATGCAGGAGTACTTGGACTTTGCTATGGAGCGCAATGACCTACAGAAGCCAGAGAACTGGGAGACTACATCAGAACTGTACATGAAGCTGAAAGAATATGCTCAGTTATAAAGTAATCGAAAAGGTATTCAGAAGTACAGTAGCACTGTTTCACCACTCCAAATCAGATTTCAGGGCTCAACAATGCTTGGTTTCATGGTTCGTCAGACTGCATTTACTCTTTCCCCTGTGATGTATCCAAATGATTATGGTACCTGTTCATCTGAAGACTGGTCCTATTTAGAAAAAAGATATTCCCATACGTTTTAAAATAAAAACAGCATTTTGAAATGAACATGGTTTCTAGCCAATCAATGTCATTTATACAGCACCAAATCACAGCATAGTCATAAAATAAATATCTTAATCATTATAAAATATAACTGGAATAACAACAAACAACGCTCCAGTTAGCAAGCACAAACAAGGTTATGTTGTGTGCGTAATTGTGTGCAGAAAGAACATCTGTATTTCAAACCGGAGAGATGTGATGTAAGGATTACATATTTATTGTTTACACGTCATATGAATGAAATGATTGCCATGATAATACAACAGGAGAATGGAACGGTGTTTGGCGATTAGGCCCCGGTTTGCAGGATAATCATTCAGGAGGGAAAGAACCGCTCCGATGAAATCCCCGGGGTCGAGACACTGGTGGTGGTGATGAGGTGAGACCGGTCTGAAGGAGGAAGGTTTAGCTTTGTCCTGAAGGAGACGGGAGGCGAGAGGGGTGGAGGCGGGTTGCGTGTGATCATCTGCAATGACAACTGACAGGGAGGAAGAGCAGGCATTTAAGGAATTTAGCGTGCAGCGATTGGCTGCTGAGGGGTGACGCCCTGTATTTAATGAGGGGGGAAGGGAGCCATAGAGTGACGTGTAAGTGACTCGTGTTAGGTCTTCCTTATTGAACTTGCGCTAAAGCTTTCATTAGTCTTATTTCAACCATGTGGACTCACTGGAAACCTGAGAATGAATGACTGATTTACAACAAAGAAGCTATGGGTGGCAATGTGAAATAAGTATAGCCAAGAGTATTTATAAAAATTGTATAGCTATAGAACAATACTTTGATTTTGTCCCAAACTAAATGGACAACATGAGCTGTGAGAAAGAAAAAAAACATGCTCACATCTAACAACGACTCTATGAACAACCTTCATAGAGTCTGTACTCAATGGGTCATCCAGTCACATGACTTAAAAACAGCCAAATCCTGGAGAATGTTGCATTCCAACGTCCATTTGGGACTTAAACACATTGTATGCGTCAAGGAGTGGTAGTTTCAATGTGTTCATCAAGGAACTCTATTCCTGGCGATGGTTCAAATCCAGATGGGGGAAATGAAGTCAGCCCAGTTGCAAACATCAAAACATCCTCCAAAGACACAGCAGTCTGGCTTTCTGCAAAGAAAACATGTTCAGATGCATTTTGGCAATGTGTTTCCTGAAATAGTTATGAAAACAGCGATTTACAAACCTTCACAATCGAGGAGATAGTCTGCCCAGAAGCCCAAAGTGTGACTTTCCCTAAGCCTCCTGTTACTCCCTGGTGGACTGAGGTCAGGCTTGAAGAGTCGCTCAAGTTCCAGAGCAGTAAGTCGCTTTTCAGAGTGGCACAGGACGGGGCCAGCAGAGTAGGGTGTTGCTGTAGTGCGTTTAAAAACAGGGCTGTCTTCCACCATAAACTGCCCTGTACCACTGTGTGTAGAAGATGAAGTGTACTACATGGAGAGAGATTTTCAAAGTGTTACTCTGAGGAAACATTACTGCTATTTCTTACAACTGGATGTAGACTTGTTATACCACTGCTTACTAATAAAACACTGTCCACCATGAACTCCATGAAACTATCTATGCACACATTCATGGAGTGTCTGGTCACTGAGTTATTAATGCTTGATGCACATGCAGCAGATTCCACAGTACTTATTTAATAATATTGGCCTCAATGTTTGAGTTTTATCCCTTTTATTTAATATTTCTGATAAAGCCACACTGAAGAAAGCTGTTATTGAGTAAACCTGAATATTAAACAGGCTGAAAATGATTATCTGTACTATGTATTTATTGTAGTTTTGGCATCATGGAAATGCATGGGCCAGATTTTCTCAGGTTAGAAATAAGTGTTGAAAAAGCAGTTACACTACATGATACATCATTACACATCAGGGTAGTGGAAACTACAAATAAGACATTATAGTCTTCGATTAAATAAATGTAAAAGTGTTAGATGAAGGAAAGCTCTCTGGATAGAAGTGGGTGGCTCTTAAAAGAGCCTTTGGGGTGTTGGTAGAAGCGGGTTCAGGGTGTTCACTTCTTGGCGGGCTTCTCGGTCTTCTTGGGCAGCAGCACAGCCTGGATGTTGGGCAGCACGCCTCCCTGAGCGATGGTCACTCCTCCCAGCAGCTTGTTCAGCTCCTCGTCGTTGCGGACGGCGAGCTGCAGATGGCGGGGGATGATGCGGGACTTCTTGTTGTCCCGGGCGGCGTTTCCAGCCAGCTCCAGGATCTCAGCGGTCAGGTACTCCAGCACAGCGGCCAGGTACACCGGGTGCTGTTTGTCATTTTCAATTTATTTGACGATATTTAATCAAATAAATGTGTATTGTCAAAAGGTTTAAAACATATCTGAACTATTTTTGATAGCTTTTAAATTACAAACAAAAAAACTAAATCCATTTTAAATAGTCTAAAGTTTATATTAATGACAAAATACAGTTTTAATACAAACTTATCATAACTGTGAAAAAGTTCTGTTTCAAGCTAATACAATATGATAGAAATCACCAATAATACTTACATGTGTTTTGTACATTTGTAACGATCAGGAAGTCTTAAGCATATTCTTCATCAATCGTTCCGTTATGAGATTGATGTCATATTCTTTACTCTGTTGTGAAATGAATATAAAACGTGCTTTCTTCTTTTACTGATGCATCAAACATCTTGGTGGGAGAACAATTTCACTAAAGCAAAATACAGTCAAGTAATCCATATTATCCGTTTTGTCACTTTGCCTTAATCACAGTAACTTTGTTTCTATTGGCAGAGTAACAAACTATATTTACTGTTATTATTTTAGTACCGTTTATACTTTTACATTAGTTAAAGTTTATATTCAATGTTCTGTTGTAACATTGTTAAATCAATGGTTCTTGGCTTGATTACCTTTAAAATAATGACAAGTGTTAATAAGGATAAACCAACTATCACGGTACAGCTAACCAAAAATAATATGAACCAGTATCATCATAATGATAATGAGTAGGATTTTAACTCTTTGAAAGTGTGTGTGGCTCTTAAAAGAGCCGTTGTGTTTCAGGACGGGTTGCTCTGTAAGTGTGTGTGTGTGGCTCTTAAAAGAGCCGTTGTGTTTCGGTGTTCTGGTCTCAGGTCAGTCTAAGCCCTCTCTCCGCGGATGCGGCGGGCCAGCTGGATGTCCTTGGGCATGATGGTGACCCTCTTGGCGTGGATGGCGCACAGGTTGGTGTCCTCGAACAGGCCGACCAGGTAGGCCTCGCTGGACTCCTGCAGAGCCATGACGGCGGAGCTCTGGAAGCGCAGGTCGGTCTTGAAGTCCTGAGCGATCTCCCTCACCAGGCGCTGGAAGGGCAGCTTGCGGATCAGCAGCTCGGTGGACTTCTGGTAGCGGCGGATCTCCCTCAGAGCCACGGTACCGGGCCTGTAACGATGGGGCTTCTTCACGCCGCCGGTGGCCGGGGCGCTCTTACGAGCAGCCTTGGTGGCCAGCTGCTTCCTGGGAGCCTTTCCTCCGGTGGATTTACGGGCGGTCTGCTTGGTTCTTGCCATGGCTAGAGAGAGTCTGCTTCTCTGTTGGAAAGTAGTAACGTGGAAGACTTGTCTGTGTCTCTTATATAGCCAGAGCAGGCACGGCAACGACGCTGATTGGTCAAATGTATACACGTGACACTGCAGCTCAACTATTGGTTGGTAGAGATTGGAAAATTCAAATTTCGCGCTCATTTGTTAAACTGTTCTTATTATACATCCATGTGTGACATACAGCTTTTTTAACACTTTGTCTATGATACAAAAGTCCAGCAAAGATGAATGATGCACAAATTATTCTATACATTCATAAACTCTGAATTCTGCATATTGTAATGCATACATATGTTGATGTACATATTGCTATATTTATAATGTTATTTTAGCATTCTTAAAATCGTTTTTATTATGTATGCGAATAAAACACCAAGACACATTCTAAGTATGTGTTACTTGGCAACAAACCCGTTATGGTTTCTGATTCTCTAATAACAAAATAATGTCTTTAAATGAAGAACATAAAGTATATGTTATCTGAGTTTCCTACTATGGAGTCAGCTATTTATAAGCAAAGCGATGACCTGAATCAAATACACTTTCAGTCACAGCTGGTGTGAAATTTGAGTATTAGTTTGATTATAACTTTTTTTGGCAACGAAAGATGAAGAAATGACTTGAATGCATCTTGGAAATACACATCAATTCAATACATGAACATCTTACTTGGTCCTGATATTCACTGCTGACTGGCTTGCATCATTCACAATGGAAATATAGCATGGCGTACTGCGTGGCTCAGGTATACAGAGGATCGTACTGAATGCTACTTGGGTGAAGTAGAATTCAGCAACATTAATACAGAAGCCTTATTGAATAGAGGAAACTACGTGACATCCAGCAAAAGGGGCTTTATCCTCCTGGGAACCCAGGAAACAAATGTTTTCCAATCTTCTTTATTTTTGATTTCCTACCTATTTAGGGTTAAAAGAAAAACATCTTGCAATTTAGACTTTTTTAATGTAATTGTATTTTTAAATGTTACAGTATGTCCACTGTAGAGGAAGTCAGGAACATTTTAGTTTGAAAAGACAGCCACAATTAACAGATAGACTATGAAAAGTATTATGGTTATAGAGTGATATTAATACTAGAATACATTCAGCTTTATTTAAAACATAAGTAATTGATCTGAACATTGCTGTTTATTTGGTTTTTGGTGAATCTTTCCAGATCTTCAAAGACCTGGAGTCAATGTACTGAAAGCACCTCATTGGACTCCAGATGCAGATTTTCAATTTCTAGCTCACTCGGGCTGGTTTCTGACAGATGTAGAAACCAAAGCGCTATTCATTTGAGAATGTGGTGATTAACCTGCTGGATGTACGAAGGACATTGTGAAGAGGAGTTTGCTTTAGTTGAAATAAGGCTTTACTTTAGAGGCTACACCCCGAAATACAGATACATACATTAAGAGTAATTTAGAGTTAAGTTTTAAGTGTGTATTGCTATAGAATATGGGTGTTTTTAGTTTCAGTGACTTGGTGTAATATATGACTCGTTTTATATGTTGTACTCAATACATATAGAGCAAGGGGGAGATCACTGCTCTGGGCCTTTAAGTAGTTGTGTAGTGAAGAGAGGAATGTTCTTTAGTTGGAAGTGGGTGGCTCTTAAAAGAGCCTTTGGGGTGTTGGTAGAAGCGGGTTCAGGGTGTTCACTTCTTGGCGGGCTTCTCGGTCTTCTTGGGCAGCAGCACAGCCTGGATGTTGGGCAGCACGCCTCCCTGAGCGATGGTCACTCCTCCCAGCAGCTTGTTCAGCTCCTCGTCGTTGCGGACGGCGAGCTGCAGATGGCGGGGGATGATGCGGGACTTCTTGTTGTCCCGGGCGGCGTTTCCAGCCAGCTCCAGGATCTCAGCGGTCAGGTACTCCAGCACAGCGGCCAGGTACACCGGGGCTCCGGCACCGACACGATGGGCGTAGTTGCCCTTCCTCAGATGCCTGTGGACACGGCCGACGGGGAACTGGAGCCCGGCCCGGGAGGAGCGAGTCTTGGCCTTCGCTCTAACCTTTCCTGCACCTTTTCCGCGACCAGACATTTTCTATGTGTTTATTCTTCGACGTTAAGAAGAAAGTAACTCGGTCAAAGTTCTCACCAGACTATATAGGAGCGCAGCTGTACGCTCATTGGTCAGATTGACCCGTAACTTCGATCGTCCAATCAGAAAACAGGTCTGTCTGCCGCCTGAATTCTTTTCAGAATGAGACGTTAAAGTTTACATTTGTATTTTCTGAAATAGTTTTCACCCGTTCAAAGATGAATATAAACTCCTGTAATTTAAGAAGCGAAAGTCTCAATGTGTGGAGAACATTAAGGCATTCATAAAGGTGTCATACTTAATGTTTATTTACAGTGTGTAATTAACTTATTAAATAATATATTCCGTATTATAACTCAAATGACACACCCACCTAAATACATGCAGCTGTAACGTGGGCTAAACATTTAACGGAAACAAAATGATCATCAGTTTTAACTTATTTGTGTAGATTGTAATTTGTGTGATGTCTACTTTTGTTATCTTTAATATTTTGAGGACATCTCTTATTTCATATTATGATTATGTGTATTCATAAAGGTCTATAACGTATGTCTTCTCAAAATGTATATAGTTCTATTTTATTTTGATTATTTTGCTAGGTATTCTTCATTCTGTGTATTTGTATGCACCAAATATACCAAAGCAAATACCCTGTATGTGTTAACCTACTCGGTAATACAACCTATTCTCATTCGTATACATACACTGTACATACATTATTATATTTGCAGCACTTAAGATACAATATAGCTTTATTTGTTAAGCATTAAACCTCCAGGTGGAAGTGATGTAGATAAACAGAAATTGAAGAGATATACAACAATTACAGAGCTCAGCTTAAAGTATTAAATATGTAAAATTAACAACATGTAAATAGTTAAAGAAAGATCACAGGAAGATAATCCAAGTGAGTATAGCAGTTTAATGTCATTGCCACCAATACATTATTTAAAAGACAGCTTTTCATAAATAAATGGTGTTAACTTGTACCATGTATTATTTTAGTTATATTAAAAAGGCAACTATGTTGATGTATATCGGGACACTTTGAAAGAGGAAAGCAGCAGTAGAGGAAGTGGGTGGCTCTTAAAAGAGCCGTTGGTTTGTAGCAGCAGCGGCAACAGGTTACTTGGAGCTCGTGTACTTGGTCACGGCCTTGGTGCCCTCAGACACGGCGTGCTTGGCCAGCTCTCCGGGCAGCAGCAGGCGGACGGCGGTCTGGATCTCCCTGGAGGTGATGGTGGAGCGCTTGTTGTAGTGAGCCAGACGGGAGGCCTCCCCGGCGATGCGCTCAAAGATGTCGCTCACGAAGCAGTTCATGATGCCCATGGCCTTGGAGGAGATGCCGGTGTCGGGGTGCACCTGCTTCATCACTTTGTACACGTAGATGGCGTAGCTCTCCTTCCTGGACTTCCTCCTCTTCTTGCCGGTCTTGCTGGGGGTCTTGGTGACCGCCTTCTTGGAGCCCTTCTTGGGCGCTTTCACGCTGGCTGCTTCAGGCATGATCAAAGGTTGTGGGTTCTCAAAGTAGAATGTATTCACCGAGAGACAGCGTGGTCTATTTATATTCATGCGATGCAAATGAGACTGTGCTGTTGCTCGCACGGGATTGGTTGGGTACTGAGCATGCGCAAAACAAATCACCCTTTGAGCATAGTTTTTAAGAACAGAAGAGAAACATGTTTTTTAATTGAAATCTAAATAATGAAATAAACCAAAAAAGACTTGATACATTAAAGTATATTGTTTGTTCAGATTAAGATAAAATATAAAATGGTTGAAGAACTTGGTCTTTTAAAAACTGAAAATGATAACCTAAATCAAGAAATATGATCAGGGCTGCACATAACTGGTGCGCAAGTGCGCATGCGCACCTCCGCCAAAAAAAGAGCACCGGGTCATTTGAAAAAAGGCGCATTTGCGTACCAAAATTGAGAGAGGGAGAGGGAGAGAGAGAAGGGAGAAGAGAAAAGAGATGAGAGAGAAGAAAGAAAAGAGAAGAGAGAGAGAGGAGAGAGAGAGAAAGAAAGATATTTGCGAGTTGCATATGAACTCAGGGTCGGCCCGTAGCTCTGGCGTTATAGATGTTCGCCTAGGGCGCCAGATCTGTGGAGGCGCTGCGCTGACAGTTCTGGGAGGGAAAAAACATGTTGACCGTTGGGGCTCATCCTAATTTTCGGCCTTGATGTAACAACATTCATAATTAAGTAAATGTAACACCCTTTTCACCCCGGTTACATGTTTCATTTGCCCTGTACGATGGGCGCTGTAAGTGATGAAAATGGGGGATGTTGGCTTATCTGGCAACCGCAGCTCACAGCCAAAATGTGAGGGAGAGAGGGAGAGAGGGAGGGTCACGGTACCGGCGCTGTTGTTATTAGCATCTGGTGCTAGCTGCTCTAACGGATATAAGAAGAAGATGTTTCTACAATGATGTGGAGGGAGAGTCCTCTCCAGTCAGACTGAGAGGCTGATAACTACAGCTCAGTGAGGTAAAGGACTCTGAGTGTTTAGATAGTTCACTTTAGTCTAAGTTCAAACGGTTTGGTCACAATTTATGTAAACACATATTTCCAAGGCACTCCTTTATAATTATTGGGATAAACAGGTTTGAAATCATTCCAATGTATACTATAGGACAGTAACCAGACATATCCTTTAAAACTGGAGAGATAAAAAAAAATGCATAAATAAATGTTAAGGTAAAATAAGATATGAATGAACAACACAAATAAAATAAGTTACATTCATTTGTTATTGGCTATGGTAGGCTATTGGTTATGTTCACATACTTATTTGATTACATCCACTTGTCTAAGATGACAACAGAGACTTTCCCAAACCCAGCTGTTGACTTGTGGATGCAAGCAGCTAATCGCAGACTCAACCAGAGAGAGAGAAGTAGGCCTACATCATCAGCTACCATGTCTGACAGAGAGGAAGACAGTGAGGAGAACAGTCAGGAGGGGAGTGATGACAGCTTGTAGGATTACTGCTCGTGCTAATGTTGTCTTGTGTTCAGCTCTGCATGTGTGTTCTGTGTTCACCTCTGCATGTGTGTTCTGTGTTCACCTCTGCATGTGTGTTCTGTGTTCACCTCTGCATGTGTGTTCTGTGTTCACCTCTGCATGTGTGTTCTGTGTTCACCTCTGCATGTGTGTTCTGTGTTCACCTCTGCATGTGTGTTCTGTGTTCACCTCTGCATGTGTGTTCAGTGCCGTGTGTCTGGCAAATAAATTCAAGACCCCCTCAAAAGTTACGGTTTATTTCGTTTTAAGGATGAGCACCAAGCAACATCTCCAGGTGCTCCTTTGAGAACCAGGGCAAAAAAGTGATGTGCACCCGTGAATATGATATCATTCATAAACAATCAGATACTATATTACCCAACGCAATCTAGTACAAGCCATTCAAACTGGTCAACAAAGAAAGCATTTCATAGTATTTCTAGAGATTACATGAAGGCTTCCCTGATGCCTTTATAACAAACCTGTAAATGTCTGAATTGAATCGAGTGTGTGCGTGAATGCAAATGTTTTTAGGTAAAGGGCTTTCTTGTATTTATATATGTGATTCATGGAGTAAGATAATGATTCCATGTGGAGACATTTTCTATGTGTTTATTCTTCGACGTTAAGAAGAAAGTAACTCTGTCTCAGTTCTCACCAGACTATATAGGAGCGCAGCTGTACGCTCATTGGTCAGATTGACCCGTAACTGTGATCGTCCAATCAGAAAACAGGTCGGTCTGCCGCCTGAATTATTTTCAGAATGAGACGTTAAAGTTTACATTTGTATTTTCTGAAATAGTTTGCACCCGTTCAAAGATGAATATAAACTCCTGTAATTTAAGAAGCGAAAGTCTCAATGTGTGGAGAACATTAAGACATTCATAAAGGTGTCATACTTAATGTTTATTTACAGTGTGTAATTAACTTATTAAATAATATATTCCGTATTATAACTCAAATGACACACCCACCGAAATACATGCAGCTGTAACGTGGGCTAAACATTTAACGGAAACAAAATGATCATCAGTTTTAACTTATTTGTGTAGATTGTAATTTGTTTAATGTCTACTTTTGTTATCTTTAATATTTTGAGGACATCTCTTATTTCATATTATGATTATGTGTATTCATAAAGGTCTGTAACGTATGTCTTCTCAAAATGCATATAGTTCTATTTTATTTTGAATATTTTGCTAGGTATTCTTCATTCTGTGTATTTGTATGCACCAAATATACCACATTTTTAGAAAACTTTATTTTATATTATTTGGTCAGTACATGATATACACAAGTTACATTAATAATACACATAAAACACAATGAATAAATATATAAATAACATAAAGAGAGCACGTTTATATTCCAGTGAGACTCAGCTCGGTCACAGACTCAAAACGCCCCATGGCTGAGTCTGGGATTTGTCCAGGGTTTTTCTTCTCCTTAGTTCAGTAAGTATTTGTTTCACGATGGTGCCACTGTTTATGATCGTCTGATTTAGTACCATGTTGCACCTTGTTTTCCAGATCTTCATACATGTGATACAAATTACCAGCTGAAAAAGGTCCCTGTGTTTATTGTCCATCCCCTCATCCAGAATACAATACATGATTGAGATATAATTTACATTGAAGTCTAACCCGATGCCCCGTAGGAGCGACCACACCTCCTGAGCTCTGTAGCAGTCCATGAGGAGGTGCTGGAGAGTCTCGTCCTCCTCACAGTTAATCATGGGGCATGTTCTAGTTTTCACATAGCAGCTCCATGAGACCACAGCTCTGACCGCAAGTCTGTTGACTGATATCAGCCACCTCACGTCTCTCATGCTCTCCGATAACTGTTTACTTTTTACTAATTTCAAGACTTCGTTACCTTCGTCAGGTGTTAGGTTTTTGTACGCTATAACACCTCCATATTTGAAATCGATTATCATTTTAAAAATTACTCTATTCGGTAGTCCGATCCAATCAATCTCTAAATGCTGAACTTCAGTTGTGAAGTCACCATAAAGTAACTTGTGGTCCATTTCTAGCTCTTCTTTTCTTCCATCCCATTCCTCCATCCTCAACCCAAGGTGCTTTCCTATCGATTGCAGCAGAGATGTTTTTTACAAAGGTGATGTTTAGTTGAACGCCCAGGTCTATGGCTCCCAGGCCTCCATATTCCCTACTCTTAAATAACACATTACGTTTAGCAACCTCCCTTGTTGTACCCCACACCAAATTGACACACTGTTTGTTTAATTGCATCATTATTTGGGCTGGTGGGGGGAAGATGTTTGCTAGAAAAAGGATCTTGCTGAGTATGAATGATTTTATTATGTTTATTCTTGATTTCTAATTTGTATTTTTATTCTCCCAGTGTTTAACTTGTTCTTTGACTTCACTTAGTTTCTTCTCCCAATTGAGTTCAGCACAGTTGTCGCTACAAATAGTTATTCCAAGTATTTTAATTTCTTTTTTCACGTGAATGTTAATGTCACATTTGGCATCGTCGGTGCCGATCCAAACACCTTCAGTTTAGCTGTGGTTTAATTTAGCTCCTGATGCCAATTCATATAGGTTTAGGTGGTTTGTTAGAACATCCATTTCCTGTTGGTTTTTATTATAACAGTAACATCGTCTGCAGGCGATGGCAGTTATTTTGGGCGCATGGCCAACTGGTGTTCCTGATATGAACCTGTCATTGTTTGTTATTTTAATGAGTGGACTTATGGCTAGCACGTACAGAGCTGCGCTTAGAGGGCACCCCTGCTGCTTAACCCCTCTCTCAACATTGAATGCATTTGTTAACACAACGTTTACATTTACACAGACATAAGATTTAAAATACAGACACTTAATCATGTTTATGAAGGCTTCAGGAAATCCGTAGGCCTTCATCACCGACCATAAGTAATCCCTGGATAAATAGTGGAAGGCTTTCTTTTGATCAAGTCCAATAATTAAAAAAACTTTCTTCCTCCGGTCTTGCCTCTTCCTGACATTTTCTGTTTAGGTTAGCAGAAAACAATACTTCCTCATCGATTGGTGGTGGTCTATAGAGTGAACATCTGGCCGCTGATTGGTCAGGTCGAGTGGTACTACCATCGACCAATCAGAGAAGCGTTAGTCCATTCACTGTGTCAAGTACAAAATACCTCACATAATTAAATCATCGAATAACATATACTATAAAATAGATCTGACTATACACATAGACTCAAACAATATAGTGTATTCTTAGAGAAATATTTTAAAATAAAGTATACTTTAAAGCAGAGGTTCTCAATTGTTTTTCAGCCAAGGACCCCTTACAAGATAGAGAATACACCAAGGACCCCTTACAAGATAGAGAATACACCAAGGACCCCTTACAAGATAGAGAATACACCAAGGACCCCTTACAAGATAGAGAATACACCAAGGACCCCCTCATTCTGATTTGTGATTTTGGGCTATATAAATAAAAATTGACTTGATTTGACTTGTATGTCCCTTGGAATAATCTAGCCTATTTTTTACACTTCTATAGTCTTAGTTATGTGAAAGAACAACACAAGAGAAATGTATTAGAAAGATATTAGATATGTATTAAAAATATTTGCACCATCTCAACACAGAATACCCATAAAACAATCAATCAATTAGCTGCAAGTAACACTGTACCTAAACAAAATATCAAAGGGAAATCAAGAGAAAAGTGATCATTTGAAGTGCATTTCAGAACACACACACACACACTCACACACACACACACACACACACAGATAACACATCAAGTGTTTCACTCTTACTTAAATGATTTATAAAAGTCTAATCACAAAATAAATGCAGGCTATAAACAATTGAACACATGCCTGCATTGCAACATATATCAAGTAAATTGCAAAACAGCTGTAACTGCATTGCTACAATCCCAAACCACTACTTGTAATGGCAGCCAGCTCTGGACACTATTGGAGTGATGCAAGGCAGTCCATGAAGCTGATTGCTTCTCTCTGCAAGTGAAGACACGCAAGGTGTGGCCCTTAGTGTGGGTGGGACCTTGGACATGCTGCGTGATGTTAAAGCATTCCAATAGTGACAGAAACTCAGCGGCAAAGGTGCTGGAGTCCACGTGGATGTTAAAATCACATATAGCAGCAGATTGAGGTGACAAGCTCAGACAACTCAGACATGAATGAGGTGGAAGGTTTGGGGGGGGCGGTAAATGAGGACGACCTGCTGCTTTGAGGGGGCAGCCACTGAGAAGGCAATGCACTCAAGTGAGATTTTATTCGTCACAAGCAGCTGTTTGACAGGGATATCTGCTCTGTGGATGACTGCCAGCCCACCACCACGACCAATGGAGCGGGGCTGTTGGAGATAAGCATAACCTGGGGGGGTGGCTAGGTTGAGTGTGAGGAAGTCCAGTTGGTTTTGCCATGTCTCAGTGAGGCAGAGAAAATCCAATTTCCTATCAATGATGATTTCATTAATAAGTGATGCTTTGTTGTTAAGGGAGCGGGTATTTAACAACATGAATGTGTGGGAGTTGTTATATGTTGCAATGGCTGTAAAACAGTGATGCCATCAACACCGGCCAAGGGCTTCAGGTTAACACTGCACACGTGTGGTTTGTTGTGATGACGTAAGTGGGCGGTGACGGGGCGCCGGGACCACACAGTTGGGATAGTGTCAGCTGAGCCGGTGTAAACAAACCCACGTTTGGAACCTCTGTGGACATACCTGGGTCTGCCAACTCGTAACAGCCCGAGGTATTCAATGACTGGCAGACATAGAGGGGGTGTAGTGAAGTGGTTGATCCTAAAAAGTTGCGAGGCGGAGTAACGAAGCATCACGATGGTATGATGCTAACGTTAGCACAGCGTTAGCTGTGGTCGCGGATCGGCCGGGAGAATGCGCTATCAGCAAAGAGTACAGATGAACCAGGACAGCAGGCAGCCTGTCCAGGAGGCGACTCAAGGACGGACAGCACTGAGGAGAGATGGTGGAAGTTGAAGAAGTTTGCCGCAGAGGAGCACCGGTGGTGGCCAGAGCAGGCTAACCTGAGCAGGTAGAACTAGGCTAGCTTCTGATCGCCGTCAGACTGGCTGGTGGAGGACCGTTGTTGTGTCTTTTGTGGCAGAACAAAATCAAACAGCAGCTAAGCAGGTGATACAGTGAAGCAGGATCGGGATTCAAAACGGGAAAATGAGACGGAGAATCGGGCTTGTCGTCAGATGGAGCCACTAACGTTAGCGATAGCGTTAGCCCTGAAGCAGGAGCAACATTAGCAGGTGTAGCAGGGTGGACAGGTCGGAAGCGGAGCATCCGTAAAAAGTTGCGATCGGGTGTTACAAAAGTGTCCAGAACAGCGTGTGCAAGCCACTGCACGTCTGGAAACTGAGGTAGAAACGTTGGTCCAAAACTCGGCAGATACATTTTCGGACAGAGAAGCGGCGAACAGACAACGCCAGCGTCCTCTCTCTCCAAAAGTGTTGCGTCACAAAAACAAAACAAAAAATCGAATGAATCGGAAAACTTTTCACGGACCCCCTGGCAGAGTGCCACGGACCCCCGGGGGGGCGCGGACCCCACTTTGAGAACCACTGCTTTAAAGGATCAAAGTGAAGCACACTATAAGATAGTTTGGCATGCTGAAGTGACAAAACAAATGACCAATGTGACCATTAAAGTATATCCAATATAATCTAATTATTAAACATACAAAATAAAGTAAAATAATGTATTTATTATCAAAATCAGGAGCTAATCCGATCTCCTCAAGTACAAGTGAATTAATGTGTAATAATAGTCACAATTATATGTAGCATTAAATAAGTTTCGATGTACATTTATATGAAGTTATATAGGCCTACAAAATATTTACATAGGGTTTATACACTATCAAGTATATGGGAAAATATGTATGTTGTGAGTGACTGTCAGAGGAGCCTTCTGTGAAGTGAATGTCTACTAATATAGCAACATAATAGAATGTGTTGTAAAATTAACTAACTTATACGATAATGATAAATAACCACAATATCTTCTGGTTTTGCAAATAAATATGCAGCAGACTTTAACAAACTTGTATTTATGCTAAATTAAATATTAAAACAGGAGAGTGCTCTTTCGGTGTATGTGGGTGGCTCTTAAAAGAGCCTTTTGGAGATGAAGTAGAGGATCTGTTTACTTCCTCGATGATTTCCTGGCTGGTGCCTTCTTCACAGCTTTCTTGGGGGTTACTGTCTTCTTGGGGGTCGCTGCCTTCTTGGGGGTCGCTGCCTTCTTGGGGGTCGCTGCCTTCTTGGGGGTCGCTGCCTTCTTGGGGGTCGCTGCCTTCTTGGCCGCCACCTTCTTCTTCGGGCTCTTAGTGATGTTCTTCACGGGGGTTTTCTTGGCAGCAGTAGCAGGCTTCTTCGCTACCTTCTTGGGAGTTACTGCCTTCTTGGCTGCTGGCTTCTTAGCGGCGGGTTTCTTCGCTGCTGCTGCTGCCGGCTTCTTGGCTTTGGCTGCGGGCTTCTTCGCTGCCTTCTTGGGCTTCTCGGCGGCCTTGGCTGCCTTGAAGGAGCCGCTGGCTCCGATTCCCTTGACCTGCACCAGGGCTCCATTCTCGAGTAACCTCTTCACGGCACGTTTAATGTGAGCGGTGTGTTCGTAGCCCTGAGCGGCCAGCGCCTTCTTGACCGCGATGTAAGAGATCCCTTTACGGTCCTTGGAGGCGGTGACCGCCTTCAAGATGAGCTCAGCGGCTCCGGGACCAACCTTCTTGGCCGGCTTGGCTGCCTTCTTCTTCGGGGACTTGGCTGGTGCCTTTGCCGGGGCGGCGGCGGCGGAGACTTCAGTGGGAGCTTCTTCTGTGGCCATGATGCTGTCAGGAGGATTCTCGGTCTGATGAGACGGAGAGAGAAATCCCAGCGAAGAGAGGAACTTAAACTCACCATGAGAACCGTAGAGACTCAACTCAGTGGCTCACACAGGAGCTGCAGAAAAACTGTGCCACTTTGTGCTTTCTCTTCAGATAAAACTGTAAAAAATACACATTTAGAGAACGAGTTGAATTTCAAAGGTTAATCGAATTGATAGCGAATTACTTTATCTTCATATAGAAGCGAAATAAAGCTTTAAATATTGTTGTGTTTTCATTGGGAAGGCTTTAAACCTCCTAAAACTGCTGCCGTGAGAAGGACTCATCTGCGACTTTTTCCTATAAATGATCTCCTGAACAACTTATAATGCTTCATATTCTCAATAAAACTAGTAATATAGTTAGGCGAGATGTTGTTTTAAAGACTCAAGGTGAAAAAAGGCAGTAGTTGTAAACAATTATTTGTTAAACAGAGGTAATTCTGCTGTCTGCAAACACACTCCCATCAGGACAGGCCCTGGCTGTGTTTTAAATACAGTCTTTGTTACTCAACAGTGAGAGACCTTCATTTAGCACAGCTTTTCTCATGTACATCACAATACAACTATATTGATATAGTAGTATGATTTATAATAACAATCTGAAATGTGTTAGACAGATGATATATCTAACCCTGTAATGACAGAAAGGCTCTCATACAGACACGCACTCCCTCTGGTAGTATATGAACTCCCTTTAACTGTCAAACTTGTTTTTTATCGAATTCTGAGAAAAATGAAAAGTAATTTATTCTTGACGCAAACACGGGATCATGAAATCAAATTAATAATACCCATAAAACCTCTTTGTGTTATACTGTGATCAGAATAATTACATTCAAGGAGATTTAGAAACGTATGACCCTTGTTTGATATAATTTGATTAGTACAAGTTATTTATTCGCCAAATTGCTGCCCTCTTATTGCTATTGTGTTTTTACATTTCAGATACTTCTGAGCATAACTGTCATAACATGCTTTGAATATGCGATATAGTCTGAGGTATTGTTCTAATTTGTCAAGAAATGTGTTATTTTTTGTATAATTTATTTAATGAGAAAATGCAAATGTCCCTGTTTTGTGGTGAATAAAGATTATCCTATGCTAAATTCCACTATCCCTTATTTCTTGTTTCTTTTTTACTTATGTGCAAAAAAATATAACGGATACATCGCCTTTTTTAAGAACCTATCTCATGGAAAATGAGCATTATGAGTTGGGCAACAACCTAAACAACTGCAGTTCAGACAGATCAAAGCGTCTAACAAGTGACATGTAATGTAATGTAGTTGTAGCCCCCTTGCCAGCGATTCTCTCTCTAGTTTAGCATACTCAGCCCGACTCAGCCTGGTTGTTGGCCCGCTAAGAACCTCGATTTTATGGGGCCAGAAAAACTGTGAAATAGTACCCGCTAGCCGGTACTAGGCCAAGTGGAAACGCAACCAAACACGGGCCGGGCACAGCACGCTTAAACCGCGCTGTAGTGGAAATGTGCCATAAGTGAGCTATAAATCCACAACATTCATTACACTTCCTTTAACCTGTTGAGCCCCAAGCCGGGTTTCAGGTCTCAGGCTCGAGATGACATTCACAGAACAAATGACCATATCTTCCCTTCTAAAAGGGGACAATTAATAATCCTTGTTCTCAAAGCAATGATAAACCTGTGAGTTGGATGTAGAAAAGTCAGAATCAATATAGATGTTTTTTATTTTAAAGTAAATTCAGATTGAACACAGTAAAACATGTATAGTTTCCGTCCAAAAAAACCCCATTACTTAAAGTGAAAACCAGCCTTGAATGATGCGATCGGAGACTAAAAGCTTTAGGAATCCAAACTATAACATAATAAGTACCAGGGCTGCCTCTTGCCAACTTGTGGCCCCACACAAAGTGATGTGATGAGGCCCTCTGTGTCTCTGAGGATTATCAGTAATCATTTCAAAGTGACACAGAGACATTGGATTAACCTTCAGCAGCGTTTGTATGCGTTTTAATGCCAATGAACACAACTTTTGATCAGAAAACAGCAACGGTTTTGTTCGTGCAATATTGTTGTGCATGGGGCTTAACTGGCTAAGTGACTACTACATTCAACTGACTCCTTTTATTCTCAATTAAAGGTTCATTCCATTTTAATATACATCACATTTCAATTGTAAACATAAATATAATTTCTGAAAGATAAATCTTCCAATGTTGACATTTCACTAAACAGGCAACGTTTGAATGCAGATAATAGTTTCAGTGCAATAACATTGCACTTCTTAGACACTGTGCTGTTTAATTAATTGTTCTCATTATAAATGTGTAAAATTATTATTCACTGAACACACTTTACAGTCCAGTGCACAGTTCTCCTTTTACTAAGAATATTCACCCATGGTTAGATTGTATACCCATCATAAATATAAATAAATTACTACGAGTTAGTTTATTCTCTCAATTTGAGGTACAAACCACTTTGTTTAATAGTATTGACATTTTAACACAAGGGATTATACCCTTAATAATTACATGGATTTACATTTTCATACAGGACTTCAAGTTGTTGATATAATACAAAAAGATCAGATAAATTGTTCTTAAGCTATCACAAGGACAGAGGCTCTCAAAGTGAGGTGGGTGGCTCTTAAAAGAGCCTTTGTGTGTTTCAGTCAGATGAGTTTATCCCCCGAAGCCGTACAGGGTGCGGCCCTGCCTCTTCAGAGCGTACACCACATCCATGGCGGTCACCGTCTTCCTCTTGGCGTGCTCGGTGTAGGTGACGGCATCGCGGATCACGTTCTCCAGGAACACCTTCAGCACCCCGCGGGTCTCCTCGTAGATCAGACCGGATATACGCTTCACTCCGCCGCGGCGAGCCAGACGGCGGATGGCGGGCTTGGTGATGCCCTGGATGTTATCACGGAGCACTTTGCGGTGGCGCTTAGCGCCTCCTTTGCCGAGTCCCTTTCCGCCCTTTCCTCTTCCAGACATAATTGCAGAGTTGTGTAAAAACTGTGAATGGACTTACTGTGGAGACCGTTGGTATTTATAGCCAGTCTGCGGACGTGGTTGAGATCTGTTCTGCGGAAGAAAACAAGCTAACAACAGAAAACATTTGAACGGTGATTTCACAATGAAGTTGCACAATTTCCGATCTGGGTCATTCTTTGATTTCCAGTGTTTAATAATAGGCTGTTTTAATTCAGCTGTTTATCATCGATAGCATTCATTGCATTTAACATTACCAAAAAGAAAATACTCTCTACTTGTATCATACTATACTATTGTATACGATTGGTATTACTACCAATATATTGCACCTTATACTATCTATATCTTATACTTCACTTTACTATTGTATTCTAGTTTATTATTATCTTTTCATTTTGGAATATTTAAACACCAATGAAAATCTTAATTGAAATACATAAAACTATGATGTACACAGTTTACTGTCACTTTCCCTCAGAAGGTTTTCTTTAGTTGTATTGTTTTCTATATTACTTTGCATTTGGATATCTTATTTTATTTACAACATTCAGACACTGATATGCAACTGTTACTGTCATGGTGTATTCTTTGGGCTTACCACAAAGTAGTTTATTTGCACTTTAACATTCATGATAAAATGCAGATATAATAATAATAAATAATGGATTACATTTTTTATTTAGAGCGTTTTGACAAGTTCTCAAAGCGCTCTACAATTACATATTACACATATTAGACATGTACATGTCAACATTACCAAGTGAACTAGTTTGTGCTCAAAGTAAATATAATGTTCATAGATTACTTGTTTGCTCCAACAGCAAAGATGAAACGGGTTCAATCCAAATGACATACCAATAAAGCGTAGGGTTTATTTGACTGTTATTGAGACCGGACTATTCCATGTTCTGGATTACTAGAAAATATCCATGAACACAAAACAAGGGTTGTTTTTGTCACTGGGCGTTTATTAGACATATTCATAATTCTCAAATATTCATTTAAACATGACGGCTGAGTTCACATCATGGATACATCTCAGGACAGCATCTAAACATGGGGTTAGATCTAAGGACAGCAGCAGTAGATGAAGTGGGTGGCTCTTAAAAGAGCCGTTAGTTTGTAGCAGCAGCGGCAACAGGTTACTTGGAGCTCGTGTACTTGGTCACGGCCTTGGTGCCCTCAGACACGGCGTGCTTGGCCAGCTCTCCGGGCAGCAGCAGGCGGACGGCGGTCTGGATCTCCCTGGAGGTGATGGTGGAGCGCTTGTTGTAGTGAGCCAGACGGGAGGCCTCCCCGGCGATGCGCTCAAAGATGTCGCTCACGAAGCAGTTCATGATGCCCATGGCCTTGGAGGAGATGCCGGTGTCGGGGTGCACCTGCTTCATCACTTTGTACACGTAGATGGCGTAGCTCTCCTTCCTGGACTTCCTCCTCTTCTTGCCGGTCTTGCTGGGGGTCTTGGTGACCGCCTTCTTGGAGCCCTTCTTGGGTACTGGAACCTTTGGTGGCTCAGGCATGGTTACGATTCTGGACTTCTCTGGTAAGTGAGGAAAGGGGATGCACGCTACTCCTACTTATACCCTTGTATGCAAATAGCACTGTGCGGTTGCCCCTTTGCTATTGGCTGGCTGGAAAATGACGTCAGTGCTTAACTGTTAGTTGGTGAAAGTGAAAGGTTTTCAACATTTACCTTTAATTTGCTATAACCATTTTGAAAACAGACACATGGTGAAAGTATATTTTATATTTTTGAGAATAATTGTATATTGCTCCCAATTAAGTTTTATTGATTCATTTTAATATAATAGGTTTTTTGTTTATATTCTTTACGTTTTTATGTTTAATTACTTTTCATATTTAACTTAATCCTTGTCATATATTTTTTTAACTGGCATCATTAATCTTTGGTAGTAGTATTTTCAACATTATTCTTATTAGGTTCGGTGTTTTAACAGTACATTTATATTTATGTTTTCCATTGGTTATGTGCTTTTGTTTGAGGCTCTAATGTCTCCATCTAGTGGAGGCAACCCGGAACAGAACAGAATGGGTGTGAAACCCTCTTTAATGGTCTCACATGCAGAGCACACAGTGACATGTGTCCTCTGCTCTTAACCCATCCTAGCACCAGGAGTCTAGCACTAGGAGCAGTGGGCAGCTATTGTACAGCACCTGGGGAGCAACTGGTACCTTGCTCAAGGGCCCCACGGCAGGGCAGAATGGCCCTGTGCAGTGTTCATAATGTGTGCATGTATTTATTGTTCTATGTATTTATTTTTAGAGATGCCTTCAAAATAAAAGTTCACTGTTAAAAGTAGTTTGATAATTTGCTTACTGTACATCTACTTTACTGACCATAAAACCATAAAAAAAAACATAAACCATTATTTGTGTTGGTTATATTGTGTACCCTATCCATCTGTAGTGTCAACGTGTGTTTACGTAATCAAATAACCTCATAAAATCAATCCTTTGACACTGAGAGAGAAAATGTCTCCATCCGGTGGAAAAACAATTCAACACAAGCAGCTGACACACATCTGAGTTTGTTTCAGTTTATTTCATAACTCTTCTGCATATACTATCAACAATTTAACAAACAGGATTCTTTTTTATTAAAAACACAATGTAACATTAAACGGGATGAGGTTTAACATGTGATACACTTATACCACTTATACACAGAGAACGTCAGAACAAACCTTTGGCTTATTCAGACCAATTTGGCAGCGTTTTGTTTTGGGGATCGGTGTTGGTATAAAGGTACTTGATGTGGACGGAGGCAGCTTCTCGGGTATTTCACACGCAAGAGGCAGCAAAGTCTATACGGACTCCACACAGGAAGGAAACTACCTCCACTACATGTTGGCAGGACACAACACCCCCGGTGGATATGAACTGTGATATGAGGGGCGGTGTGCAATCAAAACCATGCATTACAAAAAATTCAAATAAAGAATAAATACTTTGCAGGTTTGCCTACAAACAGTCGCTTTTCAAGAAATGTTATGAAATGCTGCAAAATGTTTGATTTGATTGAAACAAAAACAATGTGTAAGATCCAGTTTGTGCCTCTGACGGGAAGTCAGGTTTTACATGTTGTCCATTTATAAATGTGAATGACTGTGTTATCATCAATACTCAGTGAAAGGATTCTTGATACCAAATTGACAAAGAATTTATCATTTAAAAAAAATCTTCAACATACACTCTTCTGTTACCGTTAGCATACTGGTTTTGTAAGCAACTTTAACAGGTCGTCACTTTTATAAAAACTCAATGTATTCAAATTTCTCAAAAAAGATATGCTTGACAACACGTAATAATACTAACGTTATAGTCTACCTTAGCTAAATATTCATTTGAACTGAATAGAGCTTGAACTCAGACCAACAATATGGAACCTCGTAATAACTAGCAGCTAGCAGCTAGCAGCTAACGCTAACTAGCTCTCCTGCAGATTCAACCACATATTTTTGAGCTTGTGAAAACAGAGCTCATGTTGATGACTTTAAATACTGCTCGGTAGCTTAACTTATCATAGTACATTATATTGAATGCTTTCATTATATACTCAAGTAAAGTACTTCAAAAGTGTACTATACTGTACCTACCTATTACTCTCGTTATCATACGAATATGATGCATTTTCAATGTTATCTCCAACCTAATTCTTCTTGTATCCTATGATCTAACAATAAAAGCACAAATGATCTACCTCACCTGAAGGTAAGAGACATTTGTCTTATTTTGATTATCTGTGGAATAAATCTTGATATGGAACAAGACACACAGTTTATTTTCTTCACAGGTGTCGATGTGTGCAGTCAGATAATTCTTATGAATGACATTCCTATTGGGTCCTAAACATCTTGTGCCACATAATAAAGTTTTTAATTGATATGTTCAATCATCACTTATGGTAAGGTGACCAGATTTTCAAAATTAAAACCGGGGACATTTTGAGTTTTGCGGTCAATATATCATTAACATCCAATTGTCTTCACTGTTAAAGAAAAAAGGGGGACAATTCTGGTTCAATGTAATTCGAACATTTGAACTGTTGAACTTCAAAGGTATTTTATTTTGAAACTGTACATCAGATTGTCCAGATTCTGATTAGATGGGGTGTCCTGCTATCACCCTGGAGTAAAATAAGTCTTTGATACTGGATAGTTTTTGTTTTATTATTATTATCTAAAAACAGAGGGACGATAGCTCATATATGAGATTTCAAAAGTATTTTATTTTGAAATTCTACATCAGATTGTCCTGATTCTCTCTGATTGACTAGATGGGATCTCCTGCTATCACCCTGGAGTGAAATAAGTATTTGATTGACTTCGAATGACTCTTTGATTATGGACGGTTTCCATTCAATAATAATCCAAATATAGATGGACAATAGATCTAATCTGAGATTTTAAACAGCATACATTTTAAAGTCACCCAGTGGAAATGTCAGATATGTCTTCATAACTGTATACTTACATTTTACATTCATTCAGTTATAATGTGGTAGTTATACGTAGTTTGTTTTAAATTATTATTGATTACATTATATAATACATATTTCTTAATTTAAGCTCCAGTATATTTGAATATGTTTGGTGTGTTTTTTAGGTATATTTGTTATTGACCGAGTAAACGCTTTTATTTTGAAGGCAGTTTTTACAGGCCTCTACCGTAATGCATAGGATATTCGCACACCGCAATACAACGTGCGGGCTGGCTTGACTGTGTTTTCCGAAGTGGGGGCTGGCTCTCCGCAGTCTGTTACCCAGTGTTTCCTGACATGAATCGTTTTATTTCACCTTGCTATGTGTTTTTAACGTATATTAAAAAACGGGGACATTTCCGGGGACAGTTTCAACCGGGGACTGTCCCCGGAAAACGGGGACGTCTGGTCACCCTAAGTTATGGGTGTATACATACTTGTTAAACGAATACTGTTTCACCTTAACAGTAATATATTGGATAAAGAAACAGACATGCATCTTAAATAAATCTACTTTTCCTGAACACAACGTAAAACAGAATCTTTTTGAATGAAAACACAACTCCTCAAAAGCAAAACGATGATTCCCTGAAAGGCACAAACTGAACCACAGATGCATTTTAATTATTATTATTCAGTTGATGATAATAAAGAGTGTTGGTGTGAGGTATGGAGAGCTAACGGAGGGTGTAGGACTTCAGGGATAAGGCTGGACTTCTCCGATCTACACAGTACAGGGATAGCAGCTTCGAGGAAACACAGAACACTTTTCACAACTGGAAAAATAGGATTGAAAAAATAAAACAGGAAGTACTGTAAATTCTCAAACAGTGGCTCCAGGCTTAAGTAGAAAACTCGTTTGGAAAAATGACTTGTGTGCATTTGATCAGATCCATTTTTACTGATCTATTTTAAAAGCTTTACAATTGTTTTTTTGCCTATAACACCTTCACTACCTTTGGAAGACTTTTATTGTGAAACATTTACAGGAATTTGATATTCCCAACTTCATATGATAATAGCAGTGAACACTGACTTTTTAAATATGCTTTACTGATCATTGATAACTTCCTTTTGTTTCACATTAAAAGCCTTCTTGTGGTTCCTTTTTACCATCTCACTACTTTTGGAAGACACTTATTTATTTAGATTTTTCCAACATAATGAGATACAAGAATATATAAAACTGTCTTTTATTTAGCTTTTTGATCGATCCTTGTTCTTACATTGGCTTCACATTATCTAAAAAAGTGATGTTCTCAGTAGTTTGTGAACGACAGCTAACATTAGTAGACAAAATGTAAAGGTAGCTAAGCTAATAGCAATATAACTTAGCTAACAAGGCACAAATCTAAGGGGCTAAAGCTGCATTCTCCTAATCATGCGGGATAAATGGTAGATATTAAAAATATTTGATTTGATCTTTTAATGTTGCAGAGTTGGTCATGTAAGGGTAAAACATACAAAAAAGCACTACCTCATTTACATTTGGATTTTTAAACCTCAAACGATGGAATTGAAACTGATCTCAGTCATTGTGTCTTTGGCCAAGGAGCCCATGTTTTTGCTTCAGTTCATCAGCGGGATTACACACAAACCAATGGCCTGATATTCATGAAAATTGGGGCAACAGTGTAACAATGGCTAAGCAAGAACTTGAGAAGATCCACAGAGAAGATCCACATCATGAGGCAGATACAGACTCCAATTTTCACTTTTTGGCAAACGACCTTCCAGTTCTGGTTTCATTTGAGAATATACAGAAAAATGACTGACCTGATGTTTATGAAAATTGGTGGAAGGATGTAACATTGGCTAAAGAAGAACCTGTGAACAGTTGGAGGAGATCCAAATCACGAGGTGGATACACACTCCATTTTCACTTTTTGGCAATGGCCTTTCAAATGCCCTTGTAGTTCTGGTTTTATTTGAGAATTTACAGTATTTCACCCCCATTCTGCCAAACACACTCATTCTTTGTTCTCACTGTAACACACATACTCATGCCACTTATAGTTTCTTGGTTGATATGTAGG